CCCCCCCCCCCTTTGGTCCACTTTTGGAGTATTGATCCAAGATCATCGCTGCACCCCAGTATCGTGGGACGAGAGGGATGGAAGAGGGGAGATTCAGATCGGGAGATCGATCAAGATAATCGCCAACGCCACCCGCAAGTCTATTCCTTGTGTTGGGCTCACTGCAGTGCAAGCCAACCGATATCAAGGAATGGATTATCCCTCTTCTCCCGAAAGAAAATCTCCGCAAGGGCACGTACCCACCGTATCAATCAATTCACCCCACTTCCCCCCTTCATTCCCCTTTGCCGTGCAATGCCCTTGCAACAACCTGTAAGATAGGGTCTTAAACCCTAAGCTGTAGTGATCAATATATGTGCATGAAATTCTCCGCGCTAAGCCCCAGGTTTCCCACCTGCAGCTTGGGCAGGGGGTGGGTGCAGTTGGGGATGATTCCAGGTACTACATAGACTTAAACATGCATGCAAGTGCTGCATGTAAGTGTACCCCTCTATTTGGTTCCTTACTTGTAACGCCCTGATGTAGCACGTATTCAGTGCGGAGATGCTTCACTTTAAGACAATCTGTCTGTATGCATGTAGAGTATACTTGCGAGGCAAACATTCAGTCCATCAGCTCCGAATGCACAAGACCGTCGTTGCTCTTCATGGTAGAGTATATACATAAGGAGGGGCCAGCCACCCTCTTGTCATGGTCGATAGAGGTCCCTGCTGCTGGTGATGATGATATTTTCTCGACCTCGAATTACCACCATACGTAGAAAGCGCGGTGCTGATGCCTAAGGATGTCTGCTTTGACATGTATAGGTACCATTCAGATCAGGGTCAGTGATCATGGACTTGCACCGTCAAACATGATGCTACTTGAATGCTACTTCGATATAAACGCATCAATTCCAGCCGACAATCGATCCCCCAGAACCTCCCGCCAGCATGCAAAGCACGCAATCTTATCGCTCTCCAGGGCAAACAAAGCAATCATACGTTCTAAGACATATAGTCACAAGTAGCCATACCACTCAACTCTCCAGAGATCCCAATCCACGCACCTCCTACGTAACAACCTCCCTCCCCCGATTCTCCTCATCTCATGCGCATTCTAAAGGACCGACCCGTCAGCCCAGGAATGCGTACCCCCCTCATCTCGCTTACTTACTTCCATTCCTCGTCTACCTGCACAGTCGCCAAGGAAGAAATGATCCTCGCATTCCATTCCCCCTTCAATCAAGTCCCGAGCAAGCCATTGCCGACGGTACCTGTACCCCTACACATCCCTCTGCACATCCCCCTCCCTTCCTGGCTTTGGATAGGCTAGCAGCCCATAACCCCCCTGTAACTGACGACCGTTCCGCGTGGCGTTCCGTCATCCATCATTCTTGGTGTGAGGAATAGGAACAGGAACCCGTGTATGTCGATCTGGGACGAAAGAGATAGGGTAGGAACTGTTCGATACGGTACCTGGATGGGTATGAGGTAAGGGGATCTGGATCTATGGGGTATTCTGTGCCCCCTGATAAGGGCCTGATAAGAGGTATTCTTGGAACCGTGCGAGGTGTTCGCATGTTCGCTGCCGATCTGTGAGGGTTCGGTGGATTCATCAGGTTGGGAGCCGTAGTTCGACCGATCGTTTCTTGTTGGGGAGTGGCTTCTGGGTATGTACTGTATGTTCTGTGCTGTATTGTGGTGTATATACAGTGTGCATAGTTCTGGGATGGGACATGGTGGTGGTGGTGGTGGGTTTTGTTTATATGGGTTGACCCGTTCCTATTCCAAGGAGGGTGCGTATGCAGTAGGGTAGGGTTGTCGTCGAAGTTCGGGTTAGAGTGATTGTGGAGAGGTGGGTACCGTGCATAATATATATGGATTGCACGTTGTACTTCACTTGATAGGCATACAGTACAGTATACTGCTGTTATTGAGCTGTTGGGCGAGCAGTTGGAGATTGATGTATACTACGGCACCAACTCATGTTAGATGTGTAGTCAGGATCACTGATTCTCGTCTCATGTACAGGAGCTTATGTCCTACTGTTGTGACTTCCAACTCAAAGAGCAGTGAGCCAGATCTAGATACGATATTTTCTGCTGGATCTGGCGGGTCTATGTAGTACAGAACAAGATAAGCGGCCTGGTAAGTAGTCCAATGGAGAGCACATCGAATCCAGACGCTCGACTCTTCGTATGCATATGGCATTGACCCACCACATCCGTGACACCGTTACTCCCCAAACCAGCCACTCACTCACTCCCTCACTCTATGCAAACCCAGAGCCGGCGTTCGAAGTTCACAACATAGTGATGGTCGGTGTACAGTACAAAGACAAACCCTTGTGCAGAGCCACGAATACTCCCGGCACAGGCAGGGTACCTGATAGCCCGGGCCGCCTGGAAGCCCTCTTCTGCTGGATACAGTACTATATATCTATTCCTGGGGGTTGGGAGGTTATACGAGGACTTGATCGTGGTGTTTGGAGATGTGCGTTGACCTGCTGCATGGACTTAGCAGGTACCCTAGGTAGGTAGAGGGTGGATTTTGGAATTGAAGAGGACGAGGCTATCGTCACACACCAGATGCAGATGTAGGTGACTAGATCAGAGAATATGGACTAGCGGTTACGCGGCAGTAGACAAAGTATCGCGATGAAAGATATATAGGGTTCTATGGTGGTCTTGAAGAAGTATGAGTCAAGTGATAGGATCGCTACTGCATATAGACGCGCCATCCAACAAACAGATTAAGAACTGAAGCGAGCGATTAGATGAATCCCGCTTCGGAATCCATCTATCACTCCGCTGTGTCGACCTCAAACAAGTACGAGATATCCAAGGAGTCTGCGCCCCAATCGACCATAATGCGCCGCTTCTCCTTCTTCTGCTTCCACTGAGTAATGTTCCCCAGGCAAGCATCACATCGTTCATGATCCGCCGCTCCGAGGTGAGCAAAATAATCCAACGCCGCCTGATTTTGGCTACAGACCGCATAATGCGCGGGCGGGTTGCCTGCGTCGTCCAAAAGCCACGGGTTTGCCCCGGCTTCTACCAGCAATCGTACGCACCGGAAGTTCTCTCCGCGGGCGGCCCAGTGTAGCGCTGTCGCCGCCTTCGAGTTGCCAGCGTTGACGTCGAAGGACCCTCGCGAAAACCCTAGTGTTGTGGCTGATGCTCCAACCCTGTCGTCAGGAACGGGCCGCGGCTCCCCTCCCATAAGAGCTAGAAGCAATTCCACTATGTTGGCAGCGCCTCGCCCAGCTGCGAATTGTAGATAGCTATTTCCCTCATTGTTGAGTTTGTGCAGATTCTTGCTGGCATGTATCATCTTCTGAATGATTTCAATATAGTCTCCCCTATTGCTGCAATCATTCACCTGACGCAGCATGATATGGATCGGCGTGTCGCCGCTTCCGTGCTCTGCGATGTCGACGTCTGCGCCTGCATCGACCAAAGATAGAATGAGCTTATGAAACCTGCGATGTAAATATGCCCCACTGGATGCGACGTGGAGGACGGTGCGCTCCGAGTCAAATGGGGCGGACAGATCCACCGCAGCTCTGCCAGTGCTGACTAGTTCTATGATCCGAGTGACTGCTTGCCATCCGAACTCGGTCGAGAGCCGCGACCAAAGTGAATCCAGGGAGAGTCGGGGCTGCAAGCGATGCTCCGGCCAGAACGCCGGGCCTCGACGGAGAAGTAAACGAAACACGTCCTCCGGGCCGTCCAGTGCTCGGTCGATGGCACTTTTGCCATATACGTCCACGGTCAGAAGATCGCTATCGAAATCGAGAAGTAGCTCAATCAATGATACACAGCCGCAGGAAACGGCGTTGTGGAATGGAGTGACGCCTCGGATATTAGGGGCGAGGATGTCACCGCGCGATTCTGTCCCCGCCTCCAAGAGAAGCTTCACGACTTCCGTATGCCCTTGTTTACAAGCCAGGTTCAAAGCTGTATCGCCGGTGGAGGTCCTCCCGAAAGGGTCAGCATGGTGAGCAAGTAAGTACTCCACGATGGGGATGTATCCCTGCCAGGAGGCTAAGTGCAGCACGGTATAGCCCTGCGCACCAGGTGTATTGATGTCGCCTTTAGCGCTGGTGATACTAGAGATGAAAATTCTTGAAAAGTCTGTCAGGCCATGAATGACGACCATTTCAAAAGGGGAAGCCCCATCTGCGTGACTTGTGAACACATCCGCACCCAGCTTGAGCAGGTGCGCCGTTACGTCTAGATGACCCCCACGGACTGCCATATGCAATGGTGTCTGACAGTATCGATCGACTGCGTTGATATCTGCCCCAAGGTCTGATAGAGCCTGAACGACATCAAGGTGGCCCTGATACGCCGCTAGATGCAAAGGAATGACTCCATCCTCGTTCTTTGCATTGACGTCTGCCCCTTGGCGGATAAGGATGCCAAGCAGGCGCAGATTACCTGCTCCTGCAAAATGGTGTACCAGCGTAGAGCGACCTTGACCCGGAAATGTGTGGCTCGGGACTCGAGTAAAGTAATCAACTGCATACTGTGATGACCAGGTCTTGATGTTACTCCAGGAAGAGCGATAGGTGACAGGACTGGCACAATGGAGTCGGATCCATTTGGTATAAAGCTGGGGGTACAACAGCAGTGCAAATCTCTTTGCGGAGCTGGTCAACGCGGCGAGAGATTTGGGGCCGAGAAAGTTCCCCAGATACAAAATAAGCTCGGGAGGAAGGCTGTCCAGACTCATACTGACCGCTGAAAGGAAACAAAAGGTCAGAATGAAAGAGCCCCTGCTAAACTTATATGTGAAGGGGGCTGGCTTCATGGAATGTCCCGTAAGGCAGTCTTGCAGGCTTGCTGCTGGTCCCCTTGCGCATGGAAGACCCCATGGTGAATTCTCATTGGGCTAGTCTGCAGTGAGGGAGATGAATATGACCATATGGCATATTGTGCTCCCACCGAGATCAAGGAAAGGATTGATGCGCATGGAAGAGAAGCCATTTTCAGAGGATCACATGGCGTTGATGCTTCAGCAAGCTTCGTGATGGTAAGATTCCGGGAGAGGCGTCCTTTGAAATCATGTGACCATTCTGTCTGAATTGATGCTCTCACATCTTTGGTAGTTAATCACTGGTTGTGGTTTGGATGTATGGTGAAGTTATCCACAAAAAGCATCCGACTTGTTGATAGGCTGTTGCTCATTGGATCTTGGTGCAGTGATTGACCGGACATAGTCCATCTCACATGCTGATTTGCCAGGCAGCCTTACATCCTGTCGCGCGGAATGGACTCCCAGTGGCACCTTTGTCTTCTCTTGGCCTCGCCTATCTTGTCGACTGGGCGTGTTATGTACACAAGTTGGTCGACACAGGCAGGTAGCAGGCTTGAACCGTGGGCTGCATACGTACACACACGTCCGTAGTGCATGCATCTCTCCGAAGCCTGGACGGTGGGTGGAGGGCCCCGTTGCTCTTGTGCAGCATCTTTCATCGGTCAATGTCCATGAAAAAGACTGAGCTCAGCGTCTGAGACGTGGACCCGTTGATTTACTACTGACTAGTGCGGTTGCGGTGGAGCAGCGGTGAGTCTGTTGCTTTGGAAGCATCTAGATCCCTCCGGACGGGTTGGTTTGGCATCCCCAACTTCCCCTTTGTCGGGGAACAATCCTCCGCTCAATCATCGGCTCATCTTTCTTTCTTCCCGAGGAATGGTGGTGGTAAAGCCAGAGAGTCGAATGGAATCATCGGGATCGTGTACTTCCCGGCTGAGTGTCGTGATCGGTATCTTGCTTGGAAGATTCAGGGGTGGATGGGATCTGGAAACAGGAACAGGAACGAAAGAATCAGACGATGCGGAGAGCATGGAGGAAAGGAAAAGAAGCTAGTTAAACAAGGCAAGTCCAGAGAAAGTGGGGTTGAAATTGAAGCCATGAAGTCACTTGGTGGAGATGAAGTTAAAGTTGGGTTTAGTTGGGATCAGTTAGATCAGTTGGGTTTAGTCTCGGCACGGGATGAAGTCATGCTACCAGAAACCCGAAGTACGGTGTACTTCCCGATACCTGGCCGTCGCTGCTCCGAGATTAGTCCTGCCGGGTACCGAGAGGTACAGTGTACACAGTACAGTAGTGTCTGTGAGTTTATACTGTATGTCTCTCTATCAGTTTGTTTGTAGATCAAACTGCCAGTCTGATTGTCAAAACGATAATAAAGTTGGGCCGATGTGCTGTAGCTTTTCTGTAGTCAGGGATAGGCATTGAACATGGGCCATATTAGAAAGTTTGCCCGTACTGCTGTCCTCCCAATTGGTTTCAGCCTGCCAGCCCTCACACACACCCTGTCAGCCCATGCATGAAGCCGGGATGAAAGAAACCGCCGTCTGTCCGTACAGTACAGACAGACAAACAAACAACAGACAGTCTGTTTTGGATTCAATCGGGCAATGCACTGGCATTCCCCTGTCCCCACTCTCTATACTCCTCGTCCTTGCTCTGACTTCATTTTCCCTCCTCGTTCTTCGACCTCTCGTTCCTCCATTGACTTTTCGCCTGCATTCAAATAGCCTCAACTTCCCCCTCGATCATGGTTCATTCTTCATCCCATCTCTTCCTCTCTCCAACATTCATCTTCACAGATACCCCACCTGATCGCTGCCTCTTTCCTTCTATACCCTTTCTTCATCTTGTAGGTCACTGCTTATCCTGTCGGCGATCGGTTAGCCTGGTCATCGTGACTAATATCTCGACAGCAGAGCTCACATCAATCAACATGGCTGCTAACCTCCCCAAGACCATGAAGGCCCTCCGGTAGGTTATGAACGGTTCCCCTTCGCTGACTGTCCTCAACCAATGCTGATCCAATCATAGCTATGAGGAGCCCTTGAAGCACGGCATTGCCGAGGTTCCCTTGCCCACTATTCGTGACAACGATGTCTTGGTAAGCCTTACAGACATTGAGTGTATCAGACCTTCACTGACTCGCAACAGATCAAGGTCAAGGCCTGCGGTGTCTGCGGTACCGATTTGCACATCCACGAGGGGGAGTTTATTGCCAAGTTCCCTCTCGTCCCCGGCCACGAGACGGTTGGTGTTGTGGCCGCCGTCGGCTCCAAGGTCAAGGGCTTCGAGATTGGTGAGCGTGTGGTGGCCGACAACTCTGAGCTTTGCGGCGAGTGCTTCTACTGCCGTCGGGGAGACGAGCTGTTCTGTGAGAACTTTCAGGCTCACGGTGTCACCATGAACGGTGGCTTTGCTGAGTACTGCGCCTACCCTGGTATGCTCGTCTGACCTTCTTATACCACGGCATCGGCTAACATAGCGTAGCTGGCAGGGTGTTCAAGATCAAGAACCTCTCGGACGTCGACGCCACTCTTCTGGAGCCCGCTTCCTGCGCCGCTCACGGTCTCGACAAGATCGCCCCGAAGATGGGCTCGTCCGTTCTGTTGTTCGGTGCTGGACCCACTGGTCTGGTAGGTGCCTCGCATCCAAGTTTCTATTTCGAATCCGGCTGACTCCTTCCAGATTCTGGCTCAGCTGCTCCGTCAATGCGGTGGCTGCCGTGTCGTTGTTGCTGCCCCTGAGGGTCTCAAGATGGACCTGGCCAAGTCCCTCGAGGCTGGTGACGAGTACATTGCTCTTTCCCGCAGCGACCCCAGCGCCCAGTTCCAGAAGCTCAAGGATGAGAACCCCTATGGCTTCGACATTGTCGTTGAGGCTACCGGTAGCGTCAAGATTCTGGAAGACTCGATCAACTATGTCCGTCGCGGTGGTAAGCTCGTCGTGTACGGCGTGTACTCCAACAAGGACCGTGTCTCTTGGCCTCCTAGCAAGATCTGTAAGTCGTTTTGTCTGTCTTGTCTCCAGTGAGTGTAATTGCTAATGCTTCATAGTCGGCGACGAGATCACCATCCTGGGTAGTTTCTCCGAGGTGTACAAGTTCCCTGCTGCCATTGACTACTTGGACTCTGGCAAAGTCAAGGTCAAGGGCATTGTCAACAAGGTGTTCAAGATCGAGGAGTGGGAGCAGTGCTTGGAGAGCATGAAGAACAAGTCTGCCATTAAGGCGGCTATAACCTTTGATTAGACTGGCATAGCTGGCTATGCTCCTAAGTAATGATTAACGAATGAATTTTTATGATCCACTCGCGTGCTCGTCGACGACGAATTCCGTAGCTTTGATCTTTAGGTGCTGTGGGAAGGTGTTGTAGTATTTATGGAAAAGTAGCCGGTGGGTCGGCGTCACCAAGGTCCTTCCCCTCGCTGCATCAGAATGACCTCAAGTATGACCTGTCAGTCGTTAAACTCCTATTTTAATATCATGTCAACGACTAAATTAATCTCACCATAAATTACGGCTACTGTAATCGCATAGACTAGCATTTGTCCATTCAACGAGTGTGAATCGTCGTAATACGCATTAAGCACAGCTCAAGTGGATCCTCCTTCCTTATCGATAAGCAACTCCAACCCGTCACTTTCTGTCTCTCTCGCTCTCTCCCGAAAGCACTGCATCTTGCTGCCTACTTTCTAACTCAACTCAAGCCTCCAATCTCCTATCCCAGCTTCCACACTCGCTCCTCTCCATATTCCCCTCCTTTGTCCCAACACCTCGAAGAACGAAGATGGTCAAACCCCTAACCTTCAAAGGCGACAAGCCCCACAAATCCAAAAAGCGCAAAGCCGACCCCTCCCTCCCGAGCAGCACCGCCAAAAAGCCCACCTCGACACACCCAACAGCATCCGATTACTCCGGCGCCAATGATGTGGTGACCGCTACCGAACATATCAACCACGATGAGGACGAGAACCCCGAAGACCAATCGTGGGTTTCCGCCGACGTGCCCTCGGACATCGCCGGCCCGATCCTCCTCGTCCTCGCCAGCCAACCGCCGACGTGCATCGCCAGCGATGCGCACGGGAACGTCTTCACCTCCGACCTCGAGAACCTCATCGAGGGGAACCCCAACACGGCGGAACCGCACGATGTGCGGCAGGTGTGGGTGGCGACGAAAGTGGCGGGCGTGGAGGGGTGGAGTTTTAAGGGGTCGCATGGGCGGTATGTTTTCTCCCCGATGGGCTTATATGGAGTTCGCCCTGCTATGGGTGTGGTGCATTGTGGGGTTGGTTCGTAGAGGGTAGGGCGGGATATTGGGGCGTTACTCGGAAGGTCATTGTGCTAATGTGTGAGTGTGTTGGGGGAAACAGGTATCTATCGAGCGACAAACACGGGATCCTGAGCGCAACCTCCTCCGCAGTATCGCATTACGAGACCTTCAATGTCCATCCCGCCGCGGTGCCGCGCACGTTCTCCATTCAGACGGGGACCAGCGAGTCCGAGGAGAGCACCTTCATCAGTGTGGCGGAGGTACCCTCGAAGACAACGGCGTCCGGGGTGAAGCTCGAGGTGCGCGGGGATACGGGGACGCTGTCGGCGGATACAAATGTCCGGATACGGATGCAGGCGCGGTTCAAGCCCAAGATCAAGGCCAGTAAGGAGATTAAGGCGCGGGAGAAGGTCAGTCGGAAGGAGTTGGAGGGCATTGTGGGGAGGCGGCTGGAGGAGGATGAGGTGCGGAGGCTGCGCAAGGCGAGGAGAGAGGGCGACTTCCATGAGGTGGTGCTGGATGTGAGGGTGCGGGGGAAGCATGATAAGTTTGCTTGAGCACGTTTTTGGGTTTATGAAGAATGTGGTTTGATATGGGTTGGAGCTTTGGTACTGATCTATAATCAGTCATATATCAATCCATTTGCATATATCCTGCTTTGTGGTTTATCAATGCTGGCGCTGTAGGTTATGAATATTGATTCCAGGCTGCCCGCCTGTTGAACATGGACTCTGGAGCCGGAATGGTGACCTGGTAGTTCGAGATGAAGAGACAACTCCTTTGTGCTTGTATAGACATGAGTGGATTGACTATGGTACAAATTTATTAGACATATACATATTTCACTGGTCTATTCCTTCTTGGCGAAGAGGTCCCGCCAAAACTGCTTGAATCCATACCCCTTCGAATGATCCTCTTCGTACACTCGCACCGTATGTGAGGTACTCAAAGATTCCAGGATGCTAGCAGCTTTGGGCCCGTCCATAGCCGGTCCTCGAGCCCGCTCAGTTGCTCGTCGTTTGATCTCCTCAGCCAGACCAGGAGCTACTTCGGTATAACAAGCGTTCAGCTCCCGCTCAAGGTTGATATACGGCTTTTGCGCCACCGGTGGAGCCATTAGATTGTAGGACCGTGTTTGCGCGTTCAGGTTCTTGACCATGAGTTCCAGGAACGAGCGCTCGGTATTGAGATACTGCGGGTCACGGAGAGGCGAGACATGAGGTAAGGGCTCCTTCTCCGGAATTTCGTCGGCTGGTGCTGCAGTCGTACTTGCGTCGGAAGAGTCCTGCTCTTCACCGCTACTCCCGCTGCTGCTGCTGGAGTCTCTAAAAGCTTGCTCGATCTTAATCCGTTCAGTCAAGCGAACCTCCGCCGCGGCATACGCCTGCGCCCGACGCATTTGCGCCTCCAACGGTCCGCCCTCACTGGCAATCAGTCGGGCAGCGTGCCGTCGCCACTCAGCCCTCAGCCGGGACCGGAACCGATCAACCTCCCTCGCCAGATCCTGTTGCTTTTCAATCCAAGGCGGCACGATCTCCTGCTTCTGGATTATTTTGTTCATAAAGTACTCCGTTGTGTCGATGAAGGGACTGTTCGCATTATGATCCGTGGTCACGTTCACCCCTTTGCCCCGCTTGATCTTGTTGAATTGTCCACGCGCGATCGCATCCTCGATCCGCTCATTCGCCAACGCTGTCAGTCCTTGCAAGGTGGCCGGCATCGGCCGCGCCCCGGGCGAGAACCGCTCCCTCATCTCCCGGCGCATCGCCTCTCGCTCTTCTTCCGACGGCCCCGAGCTTTGTGCCAGGGTGTATGTTGCCGTGCGCTCCTTCGCCCGGGCGAGACGCAAGCCGGCCGACTCGTTGGACTTGGGCTTGATCCGCATGTCGACGGGGTTGGGGATCTTGAAGGGCGTGCGCATCGGTTTAATCGAGCTATCCAGCATGCGTAGGGTGACGTCGTGGAGGTTTTCCGTGCCGGTCCAGGGCTCCGCGCCGGCGATGTCTCGTGTACCTTGTCCTGCGCTAACCTGTACCGCAATAGAAGATTCTTTGTATTAGCATACTTCAGGATCCTGTTGAGCGGAATAGTATCAGGAAAGGATGAAGAACCATACCGGCGTATTGACTGTAGCATGTGCACTCGCATACTCGCTCTGGAATGCCGCCGCCGCCACCCGTTCCTCCAGCTGTTTCTTCAGCTCTTCCGAAAACCCAGCGGACTCGAGGTTCTTGCGTGCGGATCGACCGCCTTCGAGCATAGCTTCCTCGGTCATCTCGGATAGTCGACGAGCCATGGCCCCTTGCTCCGGGGACTTCTCATTTTGGGGTTCGCTGCTGCTGCTGCTGCTGCTGCTGCTGCTGCTGCTGCTGCTGCTGTCATCGCTCTGTTTCGCAGTTGCCGCATCTTGCCGCCCCCGCGCACTGCTGCTGGCAAGACATCGACACGTCGAAGGGGAGGGCTGGATGTGGCGTGTCGTCCGCAGCGCAACAAGAGTATTCACGTATAAGGTGCGCACATGCCTTCTGCTCATTCTTATTGGTAATTGCAATCTTTCAATGTTGAGCATTGAATGTCGTATCCGCAAGCATCGCACCTAGCTTCTTATCAGCGAACGCCGCCGCCGCCGCCGCCGCTGCTGTCGGGATTATGTCAGCGAGTCTCTATGGATTGCGAACCTCCGCGGGCAAAATTGTCCCAAAGTCTTGGCAGGATTGATTGCCCTTCCCCTTCGACCCGGTAGCATAACTTTGGCATTGAGCTTGTCGCATCAACGATTCCTGCTTTCGTTCTTCTTCTTATCATACCGCCTGGTCTCGAGCACAACATAGACCTCACGCAAATCGTCAACCATGCCTGCCTCCACCCGTCTCACCCCCATCCGTCTCCAGACCATCAACCACCTGCGCGTCCGGAGACCCAACAAGAACGAGCCCAACGGCTGTGTCAATGTGATGTCCGCGATGCTGAGTACGTCTTCCTCCTAATCTGTTGTTCAGAAATCTCCGGAGACACCGCTGGATCTAGCCTGGTGCGAATTCTCGGGGCCCTTCATCTCAAGCCTTAGATATTCGTCATGAACCGACATACAGAACCCCTCAGCAAAAACCATCTTAGCTAACATTGCCATTGAAAATAGGTTGCTGGGCTTCGGCCGGTGGTTCCATCGAAGGGTGCGCGGCTCTGGAACAGCAATTGAGACAGTGCATGGATGCTCCTGTACGTATTCCCTATTTCTTTCATTCTGGTGTCTTGTTTCACCCTTCGCTTGTCCATACAATTCCGCCTCTTCAGATATTTTCTTCCATTTATCAAGTCGAAAGAGGGCTGGGCTAATCCTTTGCTTCAAAAAACCACAGAGACCCAAGCGCCAGGGACGCAGCACCATCAACTACCACCTCATGAGAATGTTCCCCAACGTCCGTGGACCGCAGAAGAAGGATGGTGTTTTGGGTTAGGAGGCTTTCCGCTTCTGGTTGTGTTTTTCATTTATTCTTCCCCTTGGGGTTCTTTCAATGTGTTTGGGAGCGAAGTTCAGGCTGAGCATTAATGGTCCTGGTGTGGTTGGGGTCGGGGGTCTGGGGTCTGGGAGATCTGGCGCGTCCTGGGTCCAGGTTGCTTTTGGCTACACGGGCTTGTTGTGCTGGGATGCAGGCGGATGGGTGTAAGTCAGGGCAGGAATTCAGAGGCTCGATGTTGGTCGGGTGGATAGGGCAGGTCAGGACCAAGGTCGGCTGAATCAGGGCATAGGGGCTTGTAGCTGTGACTGCGGCTGCGGCCGCGGCTGGAGATGGACATACTGTATTCTATTGTTCTAACTGGAGTTTTTTTTATTTATGGTTTAAAAGATAAGTTTGAAGTGTTTATGATAATGATTAGTGCGTAGTTGGTGGTCTTGCGGCTGGGTTGCTATAGTACAGCGTTAGAGGCTTCTGCCCTTCGAAGAAATGCCGATGACTACGCGGTTGCAATCATGGTATAGATGTTGTCATTCACCGGATATTATGTTATTGATACGGGATTACATGGATGCACAGCGTATCTTCATAAATTATGTGAGCTAAACCATAAGGTAGTCTGGTCTATCAGGCAGTTTCGAACCGCAAGATCAACTTCTCGCCTCGAGGCTTGACAGTGTAAGCATCAATCGCCTCGATATCGTCATCATTGACGATGGAGGTCTTGAAGTTCGTGTAGATGGCTGCCACAGCCAGTTTCATTTCTGACGAAGAATGGTTAGACAAGCACCACCTACATTACAGACAAAAGGACTCACCTTGCAGGGCTAGATTGCTACCCACACACATCCGTCCACCGCTGCCAAAAGCCCAAAACCACCGTCTTCGCTCCTCCAGCTCGGCGGCCGAGTTCTGACCTTTGAGCCACCGTTTCGGCTCCCATGATTCAGGCTCAGGGTAGACAGTGGGGTTGCGGTGGAGCGAATAGGCTTGCGCATTCACCCTAGTGTTTGCGGGGATATCGCTGTAACCTGCAAGCGTGCAGCTTGGAGAGGGCGTCACGCGTGGCTGGATCCCTGGGATCGGCGCGTGCAGGCGCAGCGTCTCCGTAACTATGGCTTCGAGGAGAGGTAATGCGTCAATTGACTTGGGAGACGGGAGTTCTCGGGAGGAATCAGGCCGGGGATAGGTGAGTCTTGGCTCAAGAGTCAAAAGCTCTTTGCGGAGCTCGTCCTGTAGCTCGGGGTGCTTGGAAAGCTCCCAGAAGAGGTAGGTCAGGGCCACGGCACTAGTCTCGTGGCCAGCTGTGAGATGATCGTACAACTCACAGGCAATCTTACACTTTTGTTTCTCGGGGTCTTCGTCTGGCAATCCAGTAGCCTTCTGCTGCTTGGTGATGCCTTGCTTGAGCTGTTTGTATACCATCGGTTCGGTTTCCAGCTTGGTAGACGTCATGCATTCGTCGGCCTTGTCGCAGAAACCTAGCCCCCATGCGTCCAGCACCTCGTTGGCCTCATCGCACCATTTCGGAATGAGGCGGAGTCCAATCTTCTTGGTCCATGCCAGCAAGTCAGGAACTTCTTGGTGGTAGAATTCGAACGGCTTTCTGCATTGGTAAAGGTGCAGCATCTTGCGGCGGAAGGCCTCATCTTGAAGGAAATTGGAACCATTGGCCAGCCCGTAGAGATACGAGGATACGAAGTCCATGGTCAATCCTTGGTTCAGATCGTGCATGTCCACCAGGACGTTATCTGTCACTGCCTTGTAGATTAGAGGCAGAAAACGGTCAAGCATGATCGTTTCGGAGATCAGGTGGATGTGTGGTGATGACTGCAGGAACGACTTGCTGTAGATGTTGGACAGCAGCCTCTTGCGGCTCGAGTGCGCCTTATTATCGGTCATGGTGAACATGCTTACAGTTCTAGACACTACTGTTAGTACTTCGACAATGATGAGGGCCTTGTAATGACCTCACCCAAAGGACCCGAATACTCGTGGGTACCATTCATGTTTCTCGAAGCCGCCAGTGTATACACTTTTGATGCCGCCGTCAACGCAATTGATTGAGATCTCAGAAGGCCCAAGTCTCACAATGGGCCCAAGCTTCTCGTGAGCCGCCTGAATGGTTCGATTGTTCAGGGCTTGGTATCTTTTCCAGATAATCCAAGCGGGAGATATGGGTGCTGTCCAATGTGCATTTGGGATTTTGGACAACGGTGATAGGAATGTCGGATAGATGATTAATTTGTAGGCCAACACGAGGACGCAGGTGATGGCTGCGACGTTAGTGATAGCAGAAACTGCCATGATGCTGTGGAGATCCAGATGCAGTGTCGGCAGTGCTAGACGTTTGCGACGTCTTCAGTAATGACCTTGGACAATCTGTGAGTGCACCTCGGCAAACAAGATTTGCGCAAGTAGATCGGCTATTTCCGGTATACAGAGTAGTATGGAAGCTACCAAGCACAAGATGCCTCCCTTGCGCCCAGGGACAGAATCGTCCTTTGAAAGTACCGTAAGAGCACAGGAAGTATACCAATTCAGAGTCCTTCCAGACAAGCAAGTTGAGTCAAGAGCAAGCGCAGCATGACTCACTTTTTGTAGACAGACAAAGCTTCTTTAAGCGGGGAAAGACGCATCAGTGCTGCGATAAGAACATGTAGCCAAAGATAAGAGCCTGTGGATGACTGCTTGCTGACATAAGTCATCCAATAGAGTCACATGTTTATTCATGGATGGAATTATTGGCTCTGTGCTCTGCTTGTTGGTAAAGCTACAGTATAATCTACTCAGTTCATGAGTCAATCTTATATGCTGCTATAGATCAGTTTGATTGAATTTCTGACTGGAGCTCACCAAGCTTGGCAATATGCAGGTTGATTTGCGCATTGGGGTGAGATATCCCTTCTAGGCCCGAGAAGGAATTACACATATTTTTTCCCATTCCACAACATGTCCATCACGCCAGGACATAACAAAATCCACTCGGTAGGAAAGGAAAGAACACTTCGGCTCTCTTCTATGAGGTGAGCATTGTGGTCGTCTTACTGCACAGTAACAAGCATGACTGACTCCGTGGCAAAGAGTATTACACCCTACGTCATTTCTGTCCCTGATCTACCTGGGAACCGCCAAACGCATTGGTGCATCAACACCAATCGGCTTCTTCACACCGCATCATGTTAGAAAATCTGCCCGCTGAGATTCTCTACCTCATCGCATGCCACTTGCCTACCGTCAATGCATTGGTGCAGCTCTCTCGGACCAGCAGACGTCTGCATGAAACCATCGCCGTTGATAATTGGCGGATCTTTCGTGCCTTTGTACAGAAACAGTTTCCCGGTTCGAAAATCCCAGATTTCTGGAGGGAAGCAGCTCACTCGCTCACGTCTCGCTCGCGAGCCTTGGACAAACATGCGGTCCTAGGTAGGTTTGTATTTCCGCCACAGGCAACCAGAATCGGATCTGAAAAAGCGATCCGGGGTGACAGGCCTACGCTTGGCTATCGGCCCGCCCTAGACACATATGAGACCTGGAACGGTTCAGCGTGGAACGACCGCCGGGAGGTTCTCGCTTGGGGTGCGGCAGACGAAATCTTCTTGCGAGTCAAGCATACAGGCTCGAAACCCCATGAGCAGTGGATTATCTTCAGTGATCTCGAGCATATCAGCAGTGTAGACGACATTTGCGGCCTACACATTTTGAAGCCAAACCATCCGGCCTATGAAAAAGGCAAGGAGCATCTGATCTTTGCTCGCGCTCGGGGCGAACTGCATCATCTCGCGATATCAATCGATGAGCCCTCGCATAGTTACCAGCAAGTATTCGAGACGTATGGCTTGGGCGTGGAGCGCACAGACTTGAGCAACGGGGAAGAGCCGATACTCGCAGCGCACTGGAACAACGGAACCATCGCGCTATACAACACGGTGTCGACGAGCTTGAGAGTCTCAGAATTTGCGCGTCTCCAAATCGACCCGGCGAAGAGAGCCCGCAACAGATACTCTAAGTTCCTTTCGCCTGACCTCTTCGCCATCGGGACAGGGCGCACCGACGATGCAATCACAATCTCCTCTATCACCAGTGAGCGTGTATCGCTCGACCGGGAAATCAACCTGAACCTGGTCGACTATGACAGACTCGATTCCTCTACGGCGATCAAGTCAGACGTCAATGCCATCGCACCTTTAAGCACCACCGGACGGGTCTTCCTCGCAGGATGGGGCGATCGAGCCGTCAGGTAACATCTCATACCCCTTCAATCACAGACCCTCCAACCATTAACTCCTGGACCCAGACTCCACGACCTCCGGTCCAACAAAGAGCACGAGATGACCTACCGCGACCCCACCGACGACAACCCGATCTACTGCATCCATCCATTTACCCACAACCGCTTCGTAGTCGGCTCCGGCGGCGAAGCCCTCGTCAAAGTCTTCGACCTCCGCATGGACCGCGGCTACAGCTACCTTGACGCAAAGCCCACAATGCGAAGCTTCGCGCATCCTTCCCGACGAACCACTTCCACCAAGTCCACCAAATCTCTCGACACACAACTCCGCCACCTAACCCTCAACTCGCCCAACGGCATCAACCACAACCCCCGCAAGGAGATGTCCATCTACCTCTCCCACCCGGCCCCGACCACCTACCACCAGCCCCGGAGCCAGCACCACCGCCCCTACCGCGGCGCCATCTACACGATGAGCTCCCCATCCCCCAATTCCCCAACCATCTACACCGGCGTCGCCGACGGCGTGATGCGCCTGGACTTCGTCGCCACCGACGACCTCACCACCGGCGCGGACCGCGCCTGGTTCGCGGACCCGCTCTCCCTCAACCTGTCCGCAACGACCCAACCCTCGCGTCGTCGCCATCGCGCGGACCGCATCCTCGATCTGTCGGGGTACGAGCGTCCCGATCCCGCGAACAGCACTGCGGTCGTCCGGCTACGCACGCAACAGCCGTTTGACGCGGTCACGGACGAGGACGTCGAGGATGAGCTTGCGACCTGCTGGGATCGTCGGTGGACGAAGTTGAGGGATTTCAGCTCCTGGCGGCGAGCTGTATGATCCGAGGAGTTGGGCTCGGCAGGCTAGTTGCGGGGCTGGACCTTGAATGCACGTCATGCCGGTGTGAGTTTCCGGGGGGGTCTGGTAACAGGGTTGCATACACCTCAGGGAAAAGGTAGCTTTTTTTCCATTCGTTTGTTTCGGTTGCTGTACAGTCAACAGCAAGAACTACATGGGTAGACTGGATGTGCCCGGAAAGTTGGAAAGAAACAAGCCATCATAGATACTGTAGGTAGACCTTGACCAAGTTCGTTTCTTTTGGTTGCTGAAATCAGCCGAAGACGGTTTTAGATACAGTTAGAAGGGAAAGGCAATCATAAATGACGTTGATTGAGAAAAGAAATAAGAAAGCAAAATTCCGACCCGGCTCCATTAGCGCCTTGCTGCAAGAAGCAAACATTTTTGAGGAACCCCATGATCTAAAGCATGCATCTAGATCTGATTATCTAATAATGTGACAGAGAATGGCGCTTCTCTCCCTGGGAATAATTGACCAGGTCTAGCTTCTGTGATGTAGCCAGTGCACATGGAAAGCTAGACCAAGTTGATCACAAAACCCTTTGACCAGAATCGATAGCGAAAAAGCAAACAAGATGGGGTATTTGACGACTGAAATGCATCATCTAGTCATCGAACTTGAAGGACTTGCCGCCAGAGATATCAATGGGACCGCCACGGTAAGATCCACGCTTCTTCTTGTTCTTCTCCTTGGTGAAACCCTTGCCCCGAGTGACAGACAGATCTGCCCAGGCCTTCTCGGCGTACGCATAGGGGATGTATTCATTCGAGGGGTGGTGGTCGTACGGCTGCTCGCTGAGGAGAGCCAGGGGCGTGGGGCGGGCACCGGTGTGCTTCTTTTTAGGGAATTCGTTGCCAGGGGCAGGACTGGCGCTCGCAGAGGGAGTCTGACTCACTTTAGCAGCGGGTGCTGCCTTCTTCGAGTCAGATTCAGAGTTCTCGACGGTCTCGCTGCTCTCGGAGTTCGGAGTGGCTTTCCCGCTCTCTTCATCGGAAGAGGATTCGGAATCGGAGGAAGAAGAGTCGGAAGAAGAAGAGCTAGAGGCCGAGGTGGTCTTCTTCTCCTTCTTTTCGGGCTTGGCCGTCTCCTCCTCATCACTGGAGGAATCAGAGTCAGACTCGGATTCAGACTCGGAGCTAGACTCGGAAGAACTTTCGTCTTCGCTGGATGATGAAGACTCGGACTCGGAGGAAGAAGAAGAGGATGAGTCAGAAGAATCAGAGGAATCAGAGGAGGATGAAGCCTCAGCAGAAGACAGCTTGGTCTTCTTGGACTTAGGAGCCTCCTCCGCCTCAGACTCAGACTCGGATTCGGAAGAGCTAGATTCGGCCTTGCGCTTGGTGCCCTGGGACTTGGAGGCAGGAGCAGCAGCAACCTCTTCCTCCTTCTCGTCATCCGCATCGCTGTCGGAGTCGGACGAGGAAGAAGAAGGAGAAGAGCTTCGAGACTGCTTCTTTTGCGTCTTTGGGGCATCGTCCATCTCAACGTCGGAGTCGCTGGAGTCGTCCGAGCTGCTCTCGCTGTCTGAGGAAGACGAGCTAGACTCATCCGAGCTGTCGGATTTGGAAGACTTGGGCTGCTCCCAGGTTTTGAAAAGCTCCAACAAAGAAGGCACGTTCTTGGTATCGGCACTGATGGACTTGCTGCTCAGCTCTTTGGCGAGAGCCTCGTGAGTCCTCGACAGTCCATTCTCGGACAAAAATGAGGAAATTGCGGCGACGAGGGGCGCAGGAGGGGCAGGAGCCTGTAATATAGAGAATTTGTGAGTATACCCGCCCGGCGCATTTTAACTGATTTCGACAATGAGTCAAGATTTGCTTACCGTCTTCTTGTCCTTGGACATCTTGTTAGGAGAGGATTTCTGAGCCTTCTTGCCGGCCATTGTAGCGCTCTGGTGCAGGAGATCTGAGGCTTGAGCGAAGGACAAAGACTCTCAGGCAGTGACTGGATGTTTTCGATCTTTCCTTTATCGGACTGACAGAAAAAAAAAGTTTAGGAGGAAAAAAGGAACGGCGGTCCGGCAGAAGGCGGTCAGTGATTTGCCACGCTTTAACTGGACGGTCAAAGTTGTGCTTTCACGTGGCGTCCCGTGACTGAGGCTTGAATGAGAGTCACGTGAGATATCCTGTAAATCAATCTGGATCGACCGATGATATGCATCATCTCAGTAATCCATGATGAACCAAATGACAGCTGGAAATTCCGAGGGAGGGAATAAATCTCTCCAGAGGTTGCTCATTATGGTGTGTTTATGACCTTAGTCTTGTGCAATAGCAAAGCGGTTCTTTTGTATGCCTGCCTGCGGCAATATATTCTTACACGGAGTTCTTACATTGATCTGATAGCAAGAGGCGCAACCTCAATCTAGACATCATCTCTAAATCAGTACTACCCGACTTCTCTCAACGCTCTGCATTGATATATCGCTCAACAACGCTAAGGGCAAGTTCTAGATTGGCTCCCAAGCTCACATTCTGAAAAGTAGTTTGTGCAACACTACTCCAGTCTTCGCCAATGATATCTGGCCGCGACCCACGGGGAAGAATTGTTAAAGAATCAATTAATGCCACATAATTAAATGACTGGTGGCTGGGACTGAGGGTGAGACCAAGAGAACTGATTCTACTGGTAAGGTTCCGGTCATTGGAGCATATTGAAATACAGTTAGATGTAGATGATCAGGCTCAGCGATGACTTTTGGTCATTGTCGTAACATGTATGCGAAGCTAAGACTAAGATAACACCCCCCGAACTGAGTTATGAAGCGGTTTCGGGGTTATATATCCTGTTCCTGAAAATCGAACTGTATCCTCAAATGATGTCAAATGATGAGTCGGCTTAATGCATGTCTAGTCAGCCTCGTTCTGGTGCCGTGTGTGTGCTGCTGCCCGCGCACGAGCTCCTCCCTCGACTTCCGCCCGCGACGGTTCAGTTAGTGTCCGCTGCCGCCCATCAATAATGAATGACCTAATCTAACTCTCCGCCTCCATCTTGGTTGGGTTTCGCATTCGGGTTTACTCTTAACGTGATTCTATATGTCGCTCGCCCCTTTATACTAAGAGTACCGGCCTTCTTCCAAGTTCTGGCTTGCTGCGACTTTATCCTTCCACGGGCTGTTTCAATTTCCCCCGTCGCGCTGCGCCCCTTCTCGTGTCTTCCTTGTCCTCCCCGACAATGTCCACTTGGTGTCTGGCACATCCTGAGTGATCCAGGCTTCCGTGCTTAAACAACAAATATGAGCAGCCGTGATCGCCCACGGGGCCCTCCGTCGAGTGATCTCCCCCCTCAAAGGGATCCGCGTCGTGGAGGCGATGGTCGCAATGGCGGATTTGCCGGACCCGGCGATGGCTCCTTGTCAAGGGCGGAGAAGTTTGAGGACGAAAAGAGGCGGATCATCCACAGCTGCTTCTCAAAGAAAGATAGTGATGGAACTTGTATGATATCCGCCCCTTCAAGGTCAATTGTACCGAGCCAAACTGATCGCCTCTCTCTTCGTTCCAGTGGTCGAGTCCTACATAACACATGTCCGCATCATTGAAGATGCGGCGTACCCGTCTACCCCCGCTCCCCCGAATTCGCCGCCTGAAAACAAGAAGCCTAGAGTAATCACTGTTGCTGTCAGAAGATCGGGCAGAGTGCGCTTGCACAAAGCTAGGGAAAATAACGACGGATCTTTCTCGATTGGGAAAACATGGATGTTGGACGACTTATCCGCCATTCAGTCGTATAACGCCCTGGTACCGTCGACCCCATTAGAACAACAGCAGAAGCAGTGGGCTCTCAATCTTGGATTTGTGGTCACCGTGGGGAAGCCCTATTATTGGCATGCGCGGACCTCGAAAGAGAAGGACTTTTTTATAGGCAGTCTGATCAAAATCTATCGCAAATATACTGGCGGCAAGGTGCCCACGCTTATCGGATTCGACGATCGTGAACGGCAACTGCTGGCTGGGCCTCCTCCGACTGCACCGCCAGGCCCTCAAGCCCCCCATCCCGGACCTTCTCGATCTGATGTGACCTTACCTCCCCCTCGCCCACCCTCATCTCAGGGTAGTCGACCTCAGTCTCCGTACACAAGCCGTGCCCCCAGTCGCGATGGACCCAAGCGGCCTCCGGCCGAGGAACACACTCTCCGGAGTCAGAAGAGTCGAGAGCAGATGGCAAGGCCATCCACTGGTCAGTCTGCGAAAAGCGGGTTTTCACCACTCGGTCCCCCGTCACACCCGCCGCCGATACCCCTGGACCATCGTGAGCAGCCTCCCCCTCGTGCGACCGAACGAATGGGAACAGATTACAGGGGCCCGAAGGCACCACTGCCCCCTCCGCACGAATCTAGAAGTAGGGACTTCCCTTCAAGTCTACAGGTTACCCCTTCTGCTGGGTCACTGGAGAGGTCCAACGGCCACAACATTCAGATCGGCGAAATCAGCCCAGGAGTCTCTAACCTGGAAGTTCGGCCACCGTCCTCCCGAGATGGAAGGCCAGGTCCCGAGTCCAGACCTGCTATGCTCCGTACCCATGATCTACACACTAGTCGCAGCAAGGATGGCCTTCGACCTACCACACCCGGGTCGGTCTCCGGAGAAAATCGCACTTTCTTGCACAGTCCAGCAAGTAGTGCGGGACCGCGGTCACCTCTGCGAGAAGCATCAGAAAGGTCGTCTAGGTCAGATATACAGACAGAGCCCCAGGAGCTCGAGGCTCCTGTCAGCTCCATGGTCGGAGACCTGCCGTCCACTTTGATGCCGGGCATGTCAGCAGGCAACAAGACGCCAACGACTCCCCAGAATCCCGAACCTATTGCTGTTCCAGTTCCCGCACCCGCACCCGCACCCGCACCCCCACCTGCACCCGCACCCGCACCACCACCAGCACCGGAGTTGATCATAGCACAACCAGAACCTCCCCAGTCACAGGACGCTGCCGAACCAGCTGCGGAATTGGAACCTTCTATGTCAACCACTCCTCCTGATGAATCTGAACTTGTAGCGGAGGACCTTGACGCGCATCGCCCGGGCCTTGGTCCGATGGTAAAGAAAAAGCAAAGCAAGGATATTGCTGGAGCATTCCGCAAAGCCGCCACTACTTACGGCGCTTTCAAGCCGAGACCCGGAGGTGCAGGCGAGAGGCTTCTAGCAGCGGCGAAAAAGCAGAAAGCAGCCACGGATGAACCCGACGGTATCACGAGCGTTGTTCCGGCCCCATTTTTGCTTCGGACGAACAGCGACAACACAACGGTTGGCCCCGACAGCCCGGACAAAGAGGAAGCTCCTGCTTTACCTCAAGCCACAGAAGAACAGCCCGCTGCACCTCCACCAATCACAATTCCTGTACCGGAACCTCCTACGGTCGAAGTAACCCAAGCTCCCCCGCTAGAGCCCGTCGTTGACCCAGTCGAAGCACCCAGTGATACGCGGAGTACATCGAGATCCACGAAACAAATTCTCACGGATGAGAGGTCAAGGTCTGTGTCGCCTTCACCACATGACCGTCGCCGTAGACGTCACGAAGACAACACAATCAAGTACTGCCAGTCACTTGGGATCAACCCCAGTATTTTGGTAGGGCGGGGTGTGGAGTTCGATGACATTTTGACAGATCTTGGCTGGAACGGACGGCTGAGCGATGAGAAGCGTATCGAAGATCTTGAAGCGGATATACGTCGTGAGATAGGGCGGGTTGAGGCTACCAGCTGGCTTGGTAATCTGGAGCAACAGGAGGGGAAAATTGATCAACTGGCCAGACTCATTGACAAGACGGTCGAGGAATGCGAAGAGTTGGATAACCTTCTTACTCTGTACGCGCATGAACTGAATGTACGTCATAGCCCCTGGCATCTCTTCGATTTGAAACTCAACATCATGCTAATCGAGCTATAGACACTTCACGACGATGTGGCCTATATTGAAACACAATCGCAGGGTCTGCAAGTGCAGACGGCTAACCAGAAGTTACTTCAGAACGAGCTACAGAACCTTCTAAAGACCCTCTCTATTTCTTCTGATGACCTACGTGCGCTAAAGGAATCGTCGCTGAGCAATCCAGATGGGCTACGAGATACTGAACTCGCGCTGTCAATATTGTACAAGGCAATGCTGATGATAGATTCTGATATACGGCAGAACAAGAGACGGCTGGCCGACTCTGCTGGAGATCATGGCAGCCTGGGCGTCTACGCTGACACTGAAATTGGACAGATGCGAGCCATCCAGGAGAAGAAAGAGGAATATCGCACACATGTTCGTGTGTTCTTGCAGCGATTAAAACAATTCATGACGATCGCCTACAGGATTGCAGAGCAGAAGAGGATCGACGCTGTAGCAGCCGCTGTCCAAAAGGATCCGCTTAAGCTTAACAGCGAAGCTCGGGCGTACTGTCGTCGAGAATTGTGGCAGTACCATGCAGTGATTCTCTTTGCGAGGGAAGTCAGTGGAGGAGAGTGGCAGGCCCTAATCAATCTCTATGAACAACAGGCTAAAGCGCCTTATCAGAATGACTTCCGAGATAACAATTTGTCTTGGAAGAAGATGGCAAGAAAACCCACAGGGGATGAGCAGGAGCTCCTTTTCACCCATCAAGAGAAGGAAAAGGAGAGTGAAGGTATCACGATGGCTGCTCGCAAGCTCACAGTCCGCAGAGGCAAGACTATCCGAGCGGCGGCAGGACTCAAGCTATCTTCCAGTGATAAGCAAACCGGCAAGCTTGAGCCTTGTGAAGCATTCGCAGGCACACTCCAAGAGACACTGAGAATGATTTCCGAGGAGCAGAACTTCATTGTTCATTTCTTCCACCTGAACTCGCTCTCTACAGTCGAATTTCCTGACCTAGTCGCTTCGGGCGCTCCTGACGAGCGCAGGGTTCCTAATTTCAGCGTTAAACAATTACATGACCCGGATCGAGGCATGGCAAAGAAGGTGGAACAGGGTATGGACGAGCTCTTCTCATTCTGGCCAACTGATATGCAAAATCTTGTAGACTGGGCTATTCAAGCCGACCCACTGTAAGTGTCAAGCGTGTCCCACCTTATCATTAATCGATATGCTGACTCGTATAACACAGACAAGGAATTGGTATCCTGCTGGCGTTAGAGAAGGCTATGTCGGAGTTCGATGATGCAAATCAAGACTTCATTGTCCACTCACTGCAGAAACTGCATTCCCGACTCCTTGGCCTGTTCAACCGTTTCGTGGATGAACAAATTCGAGGCATCGAAGAAACCAAAGTCAAGGTAAACAAGCGCAAGGGCGTCATCTCCTTCATGCGAGTGTTCCCGAACTTTGCCACTGCAGTGGAGAACCTCCTTTCGCAGCAGTCGCAGGAATTCTATGATATCCGGATCAGTGTCAACGAAGCTTACGATCGCATTAATCGTGCCATGTGGGAGTCGCTCAAATTCATCGCCAAGGAAGCTCCGGGCCAACCTACAGCAGCGACAGCCGCGTCCGGCGATCCGGAGGATAAAGAGATCCTGAACTATCACATTCTCTTGATCGAGAACATGAATCACTACGTGGAAGAGGTCGGGATTCGGGATCTCCTGGTTCTGGAGCGATGGCACGCCCGGGCGCAGCAAGACATGCAAGAGCACTTGAAGCTGTATCTGGATTCGGTCATTCACCGACCTCTAGGCAAGCTGCTCGAGTTCGTCGAGTCTGTTGAGAATTTACTGGCGAGCGGTATGAATCCCGCGGACATCGCCAGCCGGCCCAGCCACTCGCGATCGGTGGCGAAGAAGGTGATGGCTGCGTACGACGGGAAGGAAGTCCGACGAGGCATTGAAGGGCTAAAGAAGCGGGTTGAGAAGCACTTTGGTGATGCGGACGATCCGGGCCTGAGTCGGAGTCTGGTGTTGAAGGTGCTCCGGGAATGCGAGGGTCGTTACGAGGAGGCGTACGACCGTACCCGGCGCATCATTGACACAGTGTATGAGGGACAACTGGAGCTGGAATGGCGCAAGGAGGAGGCAGCTGCCATGTTTCAAAGATGACAGATGATTATTATTGGTATTTTTAAGTTTCTGCCCTTGCTTGGCTGTCTGTTACCTGCTGTTGAGTGCGAATCATACAAGGGGCGCATGGAATTGGGCGTTTGCTTCTTCATTTTCCAGGTTTACATCTCTTGTTATAAGCCGCTGGCTTGTCCGAGTACCCTTCTATTTCTGTACTTATAGTTCGTGAATAGGTCGTAATTGTTGAGTGGGGGAAGGGAATTTCCCGCACTCCTGTATTGAAGAACTACCCCATCAAAGAAGGATTGATTCTATGGTGTTGCTAGCCAAGGCCAGATGTTGTCTCTGGCGGGCTCACGCATGGTCCGAAGTAAGGACTCGGCCCCTAGTTAAGGTACTTACTTAGCCAGTGGCCCATGCGGAACGCGGCAAGTACAAGTAGTCTATGAGTAGATGGAATCGCGTTTGGTGTCGATCACTTGGGGAGAAACTTCAGGTGAACTAATAATGTCAGCGGTTGACCCCTGGTTCTGTGTTTGCAGACAGCCGATCTTCACCCGGTCCAGCTGAACGGCCAAAATTGCGGCCCCGACACGAGCCAGTATTGGATGGATTTCAGGGGTGGGAATGGGTCTGTGCTGGAAAGTGAAAGAGGATCTTGGTCAGGCACTTGTGTCACTGTGGCCAATGATCAGATATGCTATTGCCAGAACGAACAAACAAACCGAGAGAGGAATGCATTTGACCTGCCAGAAAAAGCAAAGAGCTGGAACGGAACAGTAACGTGCTGATTGTTGCAGTACTGGTACTGGCCAGAATGGCCAGAAAGCCACCAAACCGGTGCATGAGAGTCGATCGATCGGCTCGATCCCGATGGATCCATGGATGGGCGATAGTAATTAGTCTCAGATCCCGTGAATTGGGCGGGCAAAGGCCAAGGGAACCAAGGCTCACATAGGAAGCAGACAGGTAAGTTATAGGTAGTGGAAGCGTTGTTGACGCCGAAATGTTGACAGGGACGTCAAGAGCCAGATACTGCAAATAGCAGCAATAGAATAGTTAAATCAAAGTTAATCTCGCAGGCACTTGCATTCCCTTTGGGAAACACTGAGTACGAGTCATTGATCAATGTTAAAATGAGATAAAAAGTGGCCCGGCCAAGTCTAGCCTCTTCCATAGACTGGGTAGCCTCAGGCTTCTTCCTCCCTCTCTCTTTTCCCGGTTGATTATTATTGTTGTCTCGACTAACTTACACCACAGTACACTACACTCACTACACTCACTACTCCGTACTCCGTACCCTTTCAGTGATTTCTCGACTCTCCCTCTTTTTCTCCATCCACTCCTCCTCCTCCTCCACTTCCCCCTCCCTATCTTCCTAATCAATCATTTCCCCATCTTTTTCGGGCTTCAAGTATCTTCCCAACCTTCCCAATTCTTTTTCTTCTCTTCTTGCTTATAATCTTTTATTCTTCTCCCTGCTCGATCTCTGCAACTTGGTAAGCTTCTCCCGCTCCCCCTCCCTACGTTTCAGTTGTGTGAGGTTTCTCCACAGTTCCTGCCAAGTGAACAATTGGGCTCCACTCCCATTCCAACTGCTTAGGGGAGAACGAGGGCGCGCGTCCGCCGCACCCACGAATTCATTCAAGCTCCCCAGGGCAGACAGCAACACAGAATCAGTCAAGTCGATGGGGCTGTCTTGTCCGATGTGCGGGATGCTTACAACCACCAACCTCATAACTATTCCTTCTACGTTATACCTTGTGCGATTGACAGGGTAGTGGTCACGGTCCCGGAGACCCTGCGCGACTCCCGCTCCTTGATGGACACACAGCTCTTTACACTTCCGCTTATCATGACCCTACTGACCCCTTCGACTCGCATTGAAACATTCTACGCTTGCGTTTCGCTTATTGGAAATTCATTCACTAACCGCACACTTTCCGCGACGTATCTAGTGACCTCAGAACCGCACCCCTAAACCAAAATAACCTTAAGAAAGACAGCACGCCTCCGGGTCGCAATCGATTCGCGCTCGCACACGTCTGACGGATTGCCCGCATTCCTCCCCTTTCCACTTGTTGCAGACGGCTGCATGTAGCGCCCCCCCTTATCTCAATCTATCAGGCCACAGATTCCATTCTACCCCTCGCGACCCCGCTTTCGTGGTGCTCTCTTCATTCCTGAGACGATCCCCCTCCCTTTGAAAACCACCGCGGCGGGGTGTTTTCGGAATTGCCGCCTCGCATCGCAGTTATGCCCTGGCGGCCTCTGCCTCGCATTGCTTTTGCTGTGGCCATCTATCCCTTCCAGCCTTCTACCCCGGCAGACTTACCCCTCGAGCTTGGCGATGAATTGTACATAATTGAGCAAGGAGGCGCTGATGGGGAATGGTGTCGCGGCTATCTGGTCGCTCCGCCGTCGCTACTGGCGGGACTGACCAGCACCAAGGGACAAACACTAGAGGCGAGGGTCTTTTCAGGCATCTTTCCACGGAACTGTGTCGAGATTCGCGAGGTCTTGGGCGACGGGGAGAGGACTATAACCAATGGAGACCGGTCGAGCTTAGTCTTAACGCCTGGCACTGAGGGAGATGTGCGAGACAGCATCACTTCCTACCACGACGATGAGGGCCCGCTTGGGGAAGTTTCCGATGTGGTGATTGCGAAGAAAGGAAAGCCGTCGCAGATCTTCATCCACAGACTCGACGATGACGATCAGTCGAGTCCACGCTCACTTGTGAGCCATACCCTCGGCGCAGTCTCGGTACCTTCAACACCTGTCATTGTGGCTCCGCGGGACCCTAACGCACCCAAACCGGCCGCACCAGTGCCGATGCTCAAAATTGGGGATGAAACGCCCACATCGCTTTCGGAACCGCTCGTCGATGAAATCGCATCCTGCCTGCGCGAATGGCATTCGACCAATTTACACCAATTGCTATTGTCCCGCCAGTACGAAACCGTGGACGAGATGTCGAAAATCGTACAAGAACTCGACCTTGCAAGGCGACAACTTCAATACAATGTGCTCACGGCCAAGGAGAAGGTTCAATTGCGACAGGAGGTAGTGTGGAAGCTGGTTCAGGGTAATAAAACGTTGGGCGGAGAAGTCATTGTCAGAGATCCCCTGCAAAGGGGTCGTCTGCTCACGGGTGACGATTCTGCGGTGCAATTGACCAAGTTACAATCCGAGATGAGTATGCTTGATAGTACCCCCGCACATCAGTCAGACGCGGCTTCTCTGCATCATTTGCTGTTGGAAGTGAATGCTGTGTCTGGCCATGCGCCAGGGCCCGTGACACTGGCACTTTATTTGTGTTCACAATCGGAGACTGGTGCTCTGACTCCACTGTCAGAGACCTACCTCCTCGACATTCCTTCCCCTGACAAATTCGCAAATATGGGTCAGAGTAGCAAACTCAAGACTCTCTTTACCGACATGAGCAACACGGATTTTGGCGATGACACTTCAAACGGTCCAAAGCTGTATTTGATCGTGGCCGTTCGAGCATCGGAAACCGCCTCTGTAACCAGCGCCGCAGCTCAATCAAGATCTTCACTCTCGCGCGACGGCTCCACGATCAGCAGAACCCCCACCGTAGCCAACCACGCGGCGAAGAACAGTCTGAAATCCCGTCGCAGTATGATGTGGACATCAAAGCGCGGCGCGACAAGCACCGAAGTGCTAAAAGAAGCTAGCAAAGGACCCCCGCGGTCTTCGGAGAGTGTCTCAAGCAATAAGGAACGGGCCAGTGGTGGCCAACCTACAAAAGAGTCAACGCATATTCGGACATTAGGGATCGGCTTCCTGGAAGTCTCCCAAACCTTACGCTCGGAAAAAGATGCAGAGGAAGTGATCAACATTTGGTCTCCATCTGACGATAGCGATGAGAAGGAAGGACGCGCCGACAATTTCGACAGCGTCGTTCGCACCCTACTCCCAAGTTCGACTGGCAAGTATGTTCGATCTCAGCCAGCTGCTCGGCTCCATCTTCATCTTTCTCCGCACACCAATCCCGACGCAGATGCCTTGGTCCGAAAGAATCCTACCACCATGCTGAACGTCACCCAAACCAGACGCATTGGCTTTTCTCAAGCCCCGACCAAACCCAGATCTGATATATACGTCACTGTCTCTCACGCCACTTTCCCTGATGATGCCCTTCTCTCCCATCCCCAGTCAGGTCAAGTCCCTGTACCAACGATTACTGGCCTTCGTAATCTGCAACTGACTCTTGAGGTCCGGACCTCGTCAGGAGCACGCGTTGACCGCTGCGTTTTCCCTGCATCTAACCAGCCTTCACAGACCGCGTGGCGGACCACGGTAGCTGAACGAGGCGCGCCGTGGAATCAGACAATTCGGCTTAACATCCCGACAGACCAGATCCCAGGATCGCATCTGATAATGAGTATCGCAGATGCCCCGGAATTCCCCTTTGCTCTGGCCTGGATGCCTTTGTGGGACAACAAGGCCTTTATGCGAGATGGCCCTCATTCACTTCTGCTGCATGCTTACGACAAGTGTACCTCGAGTATTGAGAACGGGAAGGGCGCTTATTTGTCTCTCCCGTGGAGCTCACTCGGTAAGAATGAGTCAGCAAAGGACGAAGCTATCACAGGACCCTTGGCTACATTGCGCCTGGACACGCACTTGTGCAGCACCGAATACTCTCAGGACCAAGTAATACTCAGTCTTTTAAACTGGAAAGAGCGACCTGTTAATGAAGTTTTGGATACTCTGAAGCGGGTACTCTTCGTGCCAGAAATCGAAATCGTGAAGCAACTCAGCAGTGTCTTGGACTCATTATTTGGGATATTGGTTGAGAACGCTGGAAATGAAGAGTATGAGGACTTGATCTTCAACAACTTGGTGACGGTTCTGGGCATCGTGCATGACCGACGGTTCAACCTTGGTCCGCTCGTTGACCACTATGCTGAAAACCAATTCAACTTCCCCTTTGCCACGCCGTGTCTTGTGAGAAGCTATTCGCGCCTTCTTCTGGCCAACTCTGATCCACAACAGTCGCGCAATTTGCGCGCCACATTTAAGGTGGGCCGACATGTTCTGAAGTTTATCATCAATGCCCGACAACAGCAGAAGGCCAAGGAAGAAGGCATTGGAATTACCCGAGTTCAGTCAACCTTCAATCGCGACTTGCATACCATTTTCAAATCACTTGAAGCTCTTATGAAGGACACATCGCCTGCGACGGTGGGGAGCAAAACGCTCGTGGTCCAGCATTTTCACACA